AACCAATTAACAATTCATTTCTTTTCCCCAGGCGGGACGGAGAGAGTGCAGAACGGGCTCATAAGGAGGAAATGACATCTGTGACCCTTTCAGCACAGGAAAGGGAGAACCAGCTGAACGTGCTGCTGCAGCAGACAGAGGCTCAACACCAGCAGAGAGGTCAGTGCTTCCACCCACAGCAGCAGCTCTGAGCTTGGCTTCAGTCACATCTCAGTCTCCTTACCATCTCTCTGACTTCACCAAATGTGTCTGACTTGTTTCAAAGATACTTAAGTTGTTCAAGAATCTCATTTTTCCTTTATGTATAATATTGTGTCTGTACAAATTATAGTTTAGAGTCTTGCGTGGTGGAACCTCACCCCTGAATCTCCACTGGATTCAACAGCAGGCTTTGGTTACACCACTGCTCTTTTAATCTCTCTTGCAGTTCAGATGTTCACAGGAAACATTTCAGAGGCCGATAGTAGTCCGTCCTTCAGCAGCCACATTTTGTTTAGAGTTGTTTTGCCATCATTGTTTTTATTGAATACACATTTGCATTTATGATGAACATACTAATAGATAATTTGCACTTGTTTTAAATAATGTACGTATCTATATTTCCTGAACAATGTGTATTTTCAGAATAAAATCCTAGCATCCATTTTGGTTTGGAGGAGGACAAACAAACAAAGAAAAGTAGTTTTGTTATATATATATATATATATGTTAAGACATAGTGAATAACTAATAAAATGCACAGCTACATATTACATTTGTATGAAATGGGAGTAGTTATCAGTAAGTGAATTTTTACTATACTGAGATGCCTCATTTATGTGTCTAGTGGTCATAGGCACAGCAGCTAGAATGTCCAGCAACCATGATGGAGCCACATTGGTAAGATGTTTGGGGTCAGATCTCTCAAAGGGCAAGAGTAAAAGGTTTTCAGTGGAGAGCGACACACACTCAAGAGAACCTCTGAATTCTAAAATTTGCTATGTACTGTAGGCCACTGCAGTACACCGACTTATTTGTCATCTCACACGGAGGTGATGTGAGCAGGAGAGAATAAAGTAGAATAAAACGGCACTGAGTAGTATGGGACACACACAGTCGGAATATCCAGCACTGCAAAGAGCAGTGTCAGCTACAGAATCACAGCCTTGAGCTGGGTCGGTCTCAAATTGTTCCTCAAGGACACTTCAGCAGAGTGGATCTTTGCTGCAACAAAGTCTTGAACCTGTCTCTTCCTTCTTCCTATGTCACCGTTCTCCCCTGCACCACAACATGGCCAGAGTAGGAGGGGATGGACAGGCACTCAGAGCATTTGAGCAGAACAAGACTCAGCTGTGCTGTTTTCGAGAAGGACTGTGGTTTAAATATCCCATTAACAATTCATTTCTTTTCCCCAGGCGGGACGGAGAGAGTGCAGAACGGGCTCATAAGGAGGAAATGACATCTGTGACCCTTTCAGCACAGGAAAGGGAGAACCAGCTGAACGTGCTGCTGCAGCAGACAGAGGCTCAACACCAGCAGAGAGGTCAGTGCTTCCACCCACAGCAGCAGCTCTGAGCTTGGCTTCAGTCACATCTCAGTCTCCTTACCATCTCTCTGACTTCACCAAATGTGTCTGACTTGTTTCAAAGATACTTAAGTTGTTCAAGAATCTCATTTTTCCTTTATGTATAATATTGTGTCTGTACAAATTATAGTTTAGAGTCTTGCGTGGTGGAACCTCACCCCTGAATCTCCACTGGATTCAACAGCAGGCTTTGGTTACACCACTGCTCTTTTAATCTCTCTTGCAGTTCAGATGTTCACAGGAAACATTTCAGAGGCCGATAGTAGTCCGTCCTTCAGCAGCCACATTTTGTTTAGAGTTGTTTTGCCATCATTGTTTTTATTGAATACACATTTGCATTTATGATGAACATACTAATAGATAATTTGCACTTGTTTTAAATAATGTACGTATCTATATTTCCTGAACAATGTGTATTTTCAGAATAAAATCCTAGCATCCATTTTGGTTTGGAGGAGGACAAACAAACAAAGAAAAGTAGTTTTGTTATATATATATATATATATGTTAAGACATAGTGAATAACTAATAAAATGCACAGCTACATATTACATTTGTATGAAATGGGAGTAGTTATCAGTAAGTGAATTTTTACTATACTGAGATGCCTCATTTATGTGTCTAGTGGTCATAGGCACAGCAGCTAGAATGTCCAGCAACCATGATGGAGCCACATTGGTAAGATGTTTGGGGTCAGATCTCTCAAAGGGCAAGAGTAAAAGGTTTTCAGTGGAGAGCGACACACACTCAAGAGAACCTCTGAATTCTAAAATTTGCTATGTACTGTAGGCCACTGCAGTACACCGACTTATTTGTCATCTCACACGGAGGTGATGTGAGCAGGAGAGAATAAAGTAGAATAAAACGGCACTGAGTAGTATGGGACACACACAGTCGGAATATCCAGCACTGCAAAGAGCAGTGTCAGCTACAGAATCACAGCCTTGAGCTGGGTCGGTCTCAAATTGTTCCTCAAGGACACTTCAGCAGAGTGGATCTTTGCTGCAACAAAGTCTTGAACCTGTCTCTTCCTTCTTCCTATGTCACCGTTCTCCCCTGCACCACAACATGGCCAGAGTAGGAGGGGATGGACAGGCACTCAGAGCATTTGAGCAGAACAAGACTCAGCTGAAGTGACCTCAAAAGAGCAGAGCAGACCAAAAAGAGCACAACAGGAGGCATGAGAAGAGAATAGAGAATAGAGGGGCAGAGCAGAGGGAAGGTGATGAGAGCCCACCCACCCTCACTGACTCACTCTCCCTCCCTCCCTCACTGCTCCTATGTTTTTATTTACCTGTGGTGCCCTTCAACAACCAGGGAGCCTGCTGGTACACAGAACAAAGATGCAGGGTATAGAGGGAGGAATGGATGTGGTGGGGGGGTAAACAAAGGGTTTGTTTCTGGCGCGTGTTGGCAGCACACATGTTGTCTAAAGAGAGCTGACATCAGAGCACAGCAGGAAACTGTGGAAGGGGAGGGGATGGAGCGGTGGACGTCCTTTAGTAGCTCGCATCACTTCCTCTCCCCGTGCAACCCAACAGACGAGCCGGATAATTAGCTTTCTTGCTCTCCAAATGCCTCTCTGTCCATCCATTTGTCCTTCTATCCATCCGCCCCCCCCCCTTCTTTTCAACCCCCCCCCACCTTTTTTCCGCTTCTTTTTTCATGCTTTTTTTTTTTCATTTTTTTTTTGAGCAAATGCATAGAGAGCAGCCTCTAGATGATATCAGATATTTGTTTCTCTCTGTCTGTCCCTCCCTCTCTGCCACACTTCTTCCCTCCATTCCTCCCTCCCTCATTTTTCCTCTGTTTGTTTCCAGTGCCAGTTCTGCTGTGTTTCTGTGTCCCAGGGTTCTTTTTGGCCTACGCATGGCCAGACGCATTCAAAGCCTGTTCAGCTAATTAGCATTCTTCATACAACTTTTCCAGCACTGACCAAACTTAGTTGAATGTACGTGTGTGCACGTCTGTGAGTTTGTGTAGTTTAGTTTCATGCTCTGTAGCATCCAATTTTTGCCCTCCATGCGTTATCTGTCGCAGTGATTTGAGGACAGAGAGTGCATGACTGTATAGAATGGTAACTCACTTTAGAGGCACAGTGTGCAGCCAGAAAGTGGGTAATATTAAGTTCCAAGCTAGGGATGAGGCATCAGAAGGTCTTTACACCTTTCCCAGTCATGAGCTCCTCCTTTGTTTGCATGTCTGTAGCATATAAGGAATGTCAAGTCAGATTTCAGGCTGCAGGTAAATGTATGTGTCATAGCACAGTGATCTACCATCATGTCTTTGTCTGCTTTTTTCAGTTTCTTTCTTTTTCCCACATTATCTAATGTAAGCACAAAAAAATAAATAAAAACATCACAAGTCTGAGTTACTTTTCAAAGACTGTGAGTCCTTGGTGTTTTTGGTTTGGGTTGATTGTAACAGAATGCTGGAGCAGGTGGATCATTCTCTCAATCCAAACGGCAGCCGTTGTTATTCTAAAAGAGCAGACATATGTTGGAGAGCGGAACGTGGATCATTTCAAAGGAATGATGAAAGCCCAGTGTTGGATTGTTCAGAAAGAGGCCCCCATGAGCGGATGAGGACGTGGCAGGAAGGGTGGAAAGGAGAAAGAAACGCTTTCAAACAACAGTCCCCTCTTTCTCAATCTCATTTTACCCTTCTCACACACTTCATATCTCTATCTCTCTGTTCTTCTGCACATCTCTAGTTGTTTGAACAGTTTTGATTCTAATGTGAATGTTGACAAAAGCATTTTTGGGAATACATTCAAAGAGATGTATCTCGTGTTTGCTGCAGTACTTTTTACAATAGATTTCATTGTTGTGCTCAGTATAGATGATGTTCTGTGGTATGTAAGGCCATTTTAATGGAAATGTGTGTGTTTATACAAGTAGCTGCTCATTACAGTGCAGTCTGTTGAAGAAATACATGGTTTTGTTTTTCACTCATAAATTGTAAGTTAAATGAAAGCATGATCCAAATGAAATCCTCATTTCATTCATGTCAGTGAGGTAACTGAAAACTTTCAACTTTATTTGGTGATTCATTTATTTAAATAGGGTAGTTCCTCAAACTTAGGCTTGTTGTGTGTGTGTGTGTGTGTGCGTGTGTGTATACATAAAATACTAAAATCCTAGTTAGAGATTTTTGGGTTTCACATTGTGACAAAGAAACGCTTCATTACAGTCCTGCAGTGTATCTATATATTTTATAATGTCTTTTTAAATAAGTGTATTTGTGTATGTGCATCTATAAAATGCAGTTAATTTTAAGGTCAGTAATGATTCGGGCAGTGGGTAGAGCAGTCATCTCCCAACCTGAAGATTCCTACTCTACCAGCCCCCGCCCCCCCCAAAGTTGCCCGTGGCCCGGGGCCCTCGACTCCAGACAAAATTTTGTTGTACGTGTCACAATACAATAAAGCTTCTTATCCTAAGAAACTATAACAGCTGCCACCACATGTTTAGGTATGAGGTTAGATATAGTTTGTTTATGTGACTGAGTTTGGTCTGTGTCAGTGAGGATTTATTGGGAACAGATACATGTACTGTACATGTCTAGTGGCAACAGATCCTCGAGGCAGCTTTATGAGTTTGATGTCACAATAATCGAGGCGTGTACTGCTTGAACCAGTATCAGTTTGCTAAGCTAGGATCTCTGAAGGCTACATGAGGTCACCCATGATGGTTAATCTCATCATAACCGACAGCTTCTGTGATTGGTTGCAGTTGGAGAGTTGGATGGTCTACTGAGTTCCCAGAATTCCCTGATCAGGAAGCTGAAGGAGGAGTGCTGCAAACTGGGGGTCAAACTGGAAGAGCTAACAGAGACCAGCAGGTCAGGATTTTCTCTTTAACTCTTTCATCATATTTACTCTTTGAACGTGAGTTCACTGAATTATGCTTTTGTTTTCTTTTACCTGCTCATTGTTTGCTTTTTGTCTCGGTGGATTTCTTTCTCCCATGACTTGGATTGACATGCACAGCTTCTCTTTTCCATTAGTTTAGTCCCTCGCTCCATTGTTTATCGCCTCTCTCTGTTGGACGTCCATGTCATTGTTTCATGAAACATCATCTATCCAGCCTGTTTGGACAGAAGCATGTCAACATACTACATACTGCTTTCCAGCCTGACCTGTTTTCTTGTTAACCTGATGCTACAGTAGTCACAGCAGGCCTGCACAGCTCTCCATCTGGGCCGCCTGTCTGTGTGTTTGTGTGTGTGCGTGAGAGTGACCCTGGGCCAGTGTCCTGTCAGCTGTTGGAGCTGTGCTGCACATTAGTCACATGACAGCCCCCAATCTGGCCCTGCCAGGCGTACTGGCCTCACCAGTCACAGGACACGTGCACACAATGCACGCACCAAAGTACTCTGTGTATTTTGTTATGGGTGGACATCAGTATCAAATACCTGTGTGTGTGTGTGTGTGTGTGTGTGTGTGTATATACAGCAATAACTACCACGTTGAATGTGTTTTTGTGGGTATGACTTCACATACAGTGCACATACAGTGCACGCTCACACACTAGTATGATGGCTCATATGCTACATCTGCATGTGTGTGTTCTGCAGTGTGGTGCAATTATGTAAACTTGCCGTTCTTACACTAATTCTTAATAAAACACTTCAGTATTTAATCTGCCCACTTTGTGTTGTGATAGATGGTACATTGGTAAGGAACATTTTCACCTGCTGTGTAGCATCTGTGTTAACTGTGCTGATGTTTGCGTGGGTGTGTGCGCAGATGTGAGCTGGAGCAGCTGGGCCTGGAGAAGCAACACCTCGAGGAGACGGTAAAGAGTCTGAGAGCTCGCTGCTCCGACATGGAGGAACAGTGTGTTCAGCACGGTCGCATGCACCAGCGCATGAAGGACAGGTGTGCAAACACATACATTAAGACCCAGAACTACACATACTATATATAGATCAGAGTCAAAGACTTTAAAATTATTTTTAGAAGCACAGAAGTGTAAAAAATTTTGATTTTCAGTCCCTCAGTCATGAAGGTTATGATTTCAGTAATATTTAGTTTTCCTTTTTTATTTTAATGATGGATGGTTTCAGCTACAGTTTCGCATAATTGTCTGAGTGTATTTTGATGCATGAATCAAGATCAAAAGCTTTTTTATAATTATAATAACAGCATCCTTGGTGCTCCCAAAGTGCTTTTTTAGTTTTAATTTCTTTCCATTTGTAGAATATGGCAGCAGGCCCTAAAACAAGTCCAGTTTTCTTTAGGATGTCAAGGGCTCATATATCAGATGAATTATTCACGGCTGTGGTGGATCACCCCTCTTTGGCTCAAATAAATTATGACGTTAACGAGCAGTTAATTCATGATAAATTGTGACTAGTTTGGTGTCAAATAAAATCTGAAATACTAACTGGTGGGGAAGTAGACAGCAGACTTAGCTAAAGTGGAAGTGATGCGCCAGTTAGACTCATGAGCTGCATCGACAATAGCACAAGTGGAGCCGAAACCTGATGAATGAGCTGTCTGACAGCATTCCCTAATTCACTCATTAACTGTTTCCACTTAACAGTTTACTCTGTAATGATCAGCAAACTGAGATTTTAGATACTTCGTCGAGTATTTTGATGATCAAGTACTTTTTTTAAGTTAAAATGCCCCAGAGTCTGAGCTTTAGTTTGATCAGGTTAAATACAGTATGAGGATTTGCTGGTCTTGGTCTACTGTGATATTAAACTGAACACCTTTGGAATTGGACAAAACAGTCTCTTTGTGTGTTGCGATGTTGTGATGGACATTCGGTACTATTTTTTGGCATTTTATGGGCCAGTTAGTCGAACAAGCAAGCAACAGATTAAATTATAGTGACACTAATCACTGGTTGCAGCCCTGAGGCAGTGCACGTGCTTTTGTTACCAAATTACTGTTTCGGTCTGAACATTTTTGAGGGCAGTATAAAATATAGTGTATAGGTTTTACACTATGAATCGAGGTAGTCAGTTACAATGAGAAAAAGTAAATATAGTGCTCTATGTAAGAGAGAGAGCGATTTTGGAAACAGTGACTTATAAAAGCTGCAGTTAAATCTGGTTCCATCTTTGGCTTATGCTACACTATCTGTAAGTGTGCGAAGTGTGTGTGTGCTTGATGCAGGGGTCTCTTCCTCCTTGAGTACAGAACCCAGTTGGTGTGTGTCTCCCCAGGGTGCCTGGCATACAGCCTGGTTCTGCCAATGTGGGCGAGGGTGTGTGGGTGTTGTTGCCCCACTCTGCAGGATCTCTACCCCAGTGCCCTCCCACCCAACTCCATCTTCCTCTTACACACAACCAAACACTCACACTCGTTCATCCTTTCCTCCTGCTCCATCACTGACACTACATATTGTCTGCCGCCCACCGGTGTTAACCTGTCGATGGTTAGACGCTGCCAAAAAACAAAGTTTACCATGTCACAGCTGTCTCCTGGTTGTGTGTGATTCTTTTTGCGTGTTTCATAGAAATAAAAACAATCTAAGTTGTCAAGAAGTGTGAAGTATGAATATTCTGTATGTTTCCGTGCATATGTTATGGTGGTATTTGTGTTTGTGTGTGTGTGTGTGTGTGTATGGGTTGCTATTGCATGTTCTCAGGAGGTTTAACAGAGTAGGAATCTGGCTGCCAAAAGTGGATTGGCTGGGAAGTTGGCAGCTAACTTCTCTTCTCCCAACTGAACCACGATAATCACTCTTGGCATTTAGTGAGTTTTATTTTCTGCTTTGACACTTAGTTGTTGATGAATCCTCCAGATATTTAAAAAAATCTCTTGAGTTTAGTTCTACATGAGGTCATTTTTGGATCGACTGTTATGCTGCTTGACCACATTTTTGTATTTGATTTTTGGAGATAATTCTTCTGGTACAAAGTGTGTATGCATAGGCATGCAGTGATTAGTTTTGAGCAGTAAATACATGTAATTTTGGCATTTGTGTGTGTGTTGTGTTTTTTTTTAGGAGATTTATTGTAAGGAAATGCAGAACAGACATGATGGAGAGGCAGGGAGGTGAGAGTGGTATGACTCACATTTATGATGATCCATGTTGCAGCTGGTACTTGTTTTTTCTACAGTATATGTGATTGTGTTTCTTGTACTCCAGAGGCAAAACTAGGAATCTTGCAACAGATATACTCTTATCATATTGGTTTTTGCTCTAACAAATAAGAGATCCACGGCATTTATCAGGACTTTTTCAGTCATGTGCTGCATTTTGTGATGTTTGAATTTAGCTGTAGAGGCAAAGCCGAACACACATTTGTGTGTACATCAATCTCTTTACATATGCTACTGTTCTTGTCTTGAATAGCAGGCGTGTTCTTGTAATCCTCAGCATGTGTGTGTGTCTATACGTCGGGAATACGTCAGTTGGTCCCTGCAGGCCCTGAGCGCTCAGTGGGCGCCCTGCCGTGCCGCTCGGGGGTTAAGGTGTATGTGTTAACAAGCTGGTGCAAGTGGGTTCAATATCCAGCGCCCCGCCCCTCCCCACAGCCTCTCCATCGGCCTGCAATCTGTGCTGCGAAGAGCGGCAACAGCGCACCACGCACAAAACATTTGGAAAATCAGCTTGATTTATTTTTACATGGGCAAGCTGATTGCCAAACTACACAGGGGTTTTAGCACACAATGTTTTGCTGTACCATTTAATTATTTATTTCACTATTTCTGTGTTGTTGTTTTTATTTATTTTTTTCCCTGGAAATGAAGGGATAGAGCGGAGGGTGGAGAGATGGAGAAGGAGAGCATCGAGTTAGGGAAGATGTAAAGGTAGTTAAAGCAAATGATAATTTGCAGGTTATATGTTATTTTTAGGTGCCACCTGATTCAAGAAATAACACATTACATTTTGGTTTATTTAAGTCAAACCTATTTTATAAAGTGAGCAAAACTAAGGATGTTTGCAGCGTAGTTTTATTTGAACTCTTTAAGCTATCGACAGCTTGATTTTTCTGTATTTGGTTGGTGACAATTAGTGGTTAAGTAATTTTCTTTTTTTTAATCTAAGAAAACAATAATAAATCTAAACTTGAAAGCAATTTAAACTGATGATGATTAACACTATTTAAATTTGAGAGTTTAACAGCAAAACTAACAGTCTGTTTTATTTTCAAATGAATTTGACTGGTCAGTGTTATGAGATTAGTTTAAGTAATTGGACACAGTTGTGACAAAAGCAAAACGCTTGGAGACAAACACCTAAGATCTTAGTGGGAGAGTGGAAAAGGAATCTAATGATAAATAATGCTTGAGAAGTTTATTACGCCTTGTAAAATAGTTCCTCCTCATGTTCACTTTTTAGTTGGTGTTAATCTCTTAAATTAAAAAATGAGTTTGGCTTGTAGCAACAGTTCTTTGTGACACTATCAAAATAAGAGAAGACAGAGTGAGATGCATTCAGAGTAACTGTAAACGTCTGTGACACTGATGCACCTTGCTTTATTTTTTTAACAACCTATTCTCTCGGGATTCCCTTTTAAAAAGTGTGTTTTTTATTTATGTAATGAGACACAAACTTTGCAAAGTCTGCCTGTGTATTAAAAGGATTCTCTGCTATTTTTTGTTCATGCTTAAGATTTACATTTCTCAACTGCAACTGTTTGTCTCCCCCACTTTTCTCTTCATCTCTTCTCTCTCTTTTCACTTTCTCCTTTACCCTTTTCTTATTCTCCAGCTTTACTCCTCTTTTGCTCTCGTCTCTTCTCTTCTTCTCCTCTGCTCTCTGTACCAAACACCACGCAACCTTTTCTCACCCCACAGCTGTTCGCAGGCTGTTTCACCAATTATCACTACGCATGTACACACTTAGGGCACATACACACACAGACTCTCGCACACACGTATGACAGACAAACATAACACCAACGCTTGCTTAACCACACGTAGTGACAGCAGAGTGAGTTTGTCAGCCCTGGGTGTGCATGTGCATGTACAGTATGGGAGTGCAAGTGTGTATGTGAGCTCACAGCTCACTGTGCAGCCCTTTAAGGAAAGCAGCAACATATACGCAGATGTGCCTGTAGATCCACAGGCTTCACTGGGCCATATGGCCTCTACAAAGAAAGATGGTGCGTGTGTCTGGAGGATAGCAGAGGAGGGAAGGGAGGGATGGAGCGAAGGATGGAGAGGGGATGAAGGGCCATGTGTGGCATGAGCTGTGCAAGCAGTTGTTGAGGTATGTATGCCTGTGGATGTGTGTGTGTTTGCACCAGAGGCTCCAGGAGATTGGTTAATGGAACAAATGGTCGTGGCGGGCCGGGGAAGAGGGAACAGGCTTGCTGCTACCGTGGGCGGACAGCAAGCCCCGGGCGAGGGCTGCTTCATCTGGGCTCCTGCCACACACCCACACCCAC